CAATCCGCCGACGGCTAGATCCTCCATCCGCCGACACAGGAGACGAGAACTCAAGCCTTCAGGTATACTTTTCGATGTTACAACCTTGTATTTTTCTTCTAATCTATCATCCATTTTATGATGATTGTGTTAGATGTAGATAATCACCCATCTGAGTAGATTGTGCTGATATCTCTCTGTATCTGAGCGCACGAAACAACTTACTGTATTTTGCTTAGACTACATATTTGAGCAATTACTTACAGAAAATTTCAGCAACTTATGGCCTGAGATGAGTTCGAAGTAACACTGAGTTCAAAGTAAAATGTCAGCAACTTCCTTATAGAAAAATATCAACAACTTGGGACAAATAGTTTTGTTGTGATGTGGATGAAGCACGAAGCACTTGTACAAATTAATGTAGGTTAATAATTGTATGTCCATGCCCATCTAATCAGATCATCTGGATGTGGTTTAATCGTTGCTTATATTTTGGAATCAATCATGCTGACACAACCAAGAGAGAAAATGGCGCGTATGGATAAGCAAGACAATTTTCCTTGGAAGGAAAGGAAACAAAAAGAAAAGAGAAGCTAGATGCAGCAGAACATCCATATTTCTGCAAGTTTTGGTTCAGAGTCGCTACTGTCTGAACATCTCTGTTTTTTAAATCTGAAATAAGTGGGCAACCAATATTATGACTGTTAATTTCATTTCATCCTCCTCTGCTACTATCTCTCTCTCAAGGGCCACTATTCCAGTTAGGATGGAGTTGACATAGTAACCAACTGATTTCGTGCAAGGAATGGATCTGCACCTAATTAATTAGAATGAGCAAATTAAGCAACGGATGGGATGATTGGGATGGAGGGATGGGTTTGGTGGGTGTACTGTCGTTGGGTCCATGGAAATGGATGAAGAACTCGTGCGGGAAAATGTATGATGATGTACTCAGGAATGTTCTTTATTAGCACCATTTTCATAACTCTGCTTTTTTTAGTACATCTAATTAAATGCCAATGCATCAGACATTTTCTTTCTTTGCTACTTTAGCTGGGGATGTTACTTTTTAGACCTCGTTGTGCTACAATTCACATGACAAGCTACCTCTTGGTTTCACCTTCATGTAATATCTTACACTTTTTTCTGTGTCAAGCAGGGAATGATGGAGTGAATGGCGGTATTGCTCCAAGTGTCGGGTCAACTACAGCGATGGGACTTGAAGATGATGCCAACAACTTTTCCATGGTATTTTTTTTGTTATATTTACTCATGTTTATCTGTGCATGTCACTTGACTTAAGTTCAAACAATATTGCTAGTCATTAAGAGAAGGAAAAAAGGTAAATACATAATTTAAATAATACTATATAGGTTGTCATGTTTTCATAATGCACATTTCTTGTTTGCAGAGCAAGTAGCGTCTAAGAAGGTTCAACATCGGCAGATTGTTCTACTTACCAAGGCGGACATGACAACTCAAATGGTATTTATATTTTGCTCCTCATCAATTAAAACATGTTGCGTGTGTTTGCAAATCTTTGACTTGCACTTGTTCAATATCTTGCTGCACAACCCAAACCATGGGAGCGGACACCCTTTACTTTGTGTTAAATATTGGATGAAAAAATGCCTTCATTCATGTTATAGTGGACCTAGTTCAAGTACACCTACTTGAATCTGTTGGCGCAAGATATGTTTACTTGCTAATCTGCTATACCTCGGCTGTAAATATTTGGTCTGCAACTCTAGTTATGTGCTTCATGGTAGGTTTATGTGTATTGTCATGAGTGTTGTTCACAAAGCATTCATGATATTACTGTTGTACTATGAGCTATGAAATGTCAAGATGGTTGTTGATATGTTGCCTTCTAAGTTGACAAACCTGATTAATACACCTGATGTTATCATGTTAGCATCTTCGGTACAAAATTTATGAGTCCAAATCTTGGTTCATGGACTTACTAATTCTTTATTTTTCTTAGAATTAGTTTACCTTCTCAAATCAATTTGCTGAATATTTATGTTTTGCACTTCCTATGGAATATATATGTTTTTCATCTTGGAAATTCCATGATACTCTGTACTATAGAGCTGTTGTCGTATTTGTACGTGTTGGATGAATGCATCAACGTGAAACAAGCTACTGAAGTACATGATGTTCCTCTTTTCTGTTCCAAAGCTTGGGCAGCACATCTTTTTGGAGCTATAGTATGGAAACGTTATTTATTCTGTACTTATATAGGGGTCTTTCTACAAAATTCACAAGATGAGTGTCCGCATTCCATCTTGTACCTACATTTACCATCCAACAGCTGTGCTGCACACGGTGCAGCCGGAGTACCCCATCACTGGGAGTATAGGATATGCTCTCCTCCTACCATGCCGCGTCTTGTGCTCTTCCCGGGTGGGTGGGTGGGAGGGCATGGTGGACCAGGGAGAGAAAAAAGGAGAGAGGATGACAGGTGGGCCAGGCACGGACAGAGCTGGACGAAGATGACGCGGAGACTTCCATTTTCTGTCCGCTTTGGCTCCAAATTCAGAGCAACTTTGGTGTGAAAATGGAGCA